GGTGATAGAGAAGGTCCTGACTCTCTACTAGGACTTCTCTAATCATACTATTGCTAAGGTAGAGGGCTGCCTCATTACTGCTGGGTGGGTATGGAAGCCCAGGATCCTTGTGTGATCTCTATTGGCATCTTTGAGGTGAGGGAAGACTTGCTACAGGCAGATGGGAATGAATGCAGTGGTATCTAACTTGGCCTTCTTGGACACTACCCAGGCAGGAGTGTTAGTGTGCTTTGTTACACCTTTATAAGAGTAGAAGTCTAGGGTCCACACTTTACTCTGGCTGGCATTGTCAGGGTGAGGCGACAGTTTTTTCCATGATGTTTGGTTATAGGAGAATAGTCGTTGTCTAAAAGTCTTGTTTTTCTAGGCTGTCCTTTTTCTGGTCCCTTGGCTAAAGAGAGAAAGATACTGTTGGAGCTTGTCTCTTCTGCATCTGGTGGCATTTTGGGGTTGCCTACTTCCTCAGCTTCAAGTCTGGGATATATGACCCAAAAATAAAACCTAAGAGATTCGCTGCCATGCTGTTACTTGGTCTCCATATCTGAGTTGATCTACTTTCTTCTGTCTTCTTTCCAGAGTTTCCTTATATTTGTTTACATAAAATATCCAAGGTTTTAGTTGTTCTTGCAGGGAATGGGAACTAGTATGTCTACTCCATCTACCTAAAATCAGAAATCCAACTGTCTAGATTTTTAAAACTTAACCTGCTTACTAAAAAAAAGTCACTATAGAACACATGGTATAAAGAGAATATAATGGGACTGTTTTGTTGTTATTGTTGTTTCTTTACAAAATTACTGAAACTGATTCATTTAAATGAGTGTCACTGGTTCCTTGAAATTAGTTACTGAGTTATCATTTGTAGGTAATTCTGTGTTGTTGACACTGCTCCCAAACATTTTTTGAACTCTATGGAACTCTAATTTGAGAGAATGAGTTGTGTCCCTTTGAATATTCTCATTGGCATAAACTGTCATCCTTTGAAGCTGTGTTTGATTTTTCGAAGCAACCCCAAGTGGTTCAAGACCCAAGATGGCTAGTAAAAACAGATGACCAAATTGGGTAATATACTTCTCAGTCTAACAGTCTTTTCCAAGAGAATAGTGTGAACCAAAGTATTTTATGTAAGAAAGTCATTTCTTTTCTATTATATAAAACTTCCCAAACACTTTAAATTTCTACATAATAAGCCTGATTAGCTGTGGGCTGAATTTTGCATGAACAGTGCCCTTTGGTATCAAATCAATATTTCTTTTCTGTGATGTTGACATTGATGTTTTCTTGGGTCCTATGGATATTGGAGTTTTTCTCTGTAAATTTTGACAGTATGGTTTTGGGTCAACTTGAAAACACTATATTTCATCACTATTCCTCTCAAATACATGTTATTTTGTCCAACCTCCCCTTGAAAGTTCAAAACAAATGTCAGATCTTCTCTATTTCTTTTTATCATTCAAAATGTGTAGCACAGTCTTTACAGAAACCTTTACGTTCAAATTCCCCTTCAGTATGAGTCAGTGTTCTCAAAGCTAACCCTCTGCTTGAACAAATCCAGCCTCTGACATTTTCTACATTTTCATTAGCCCTTTGTACTTCATCATGAGCATCCTTATTACCTTTCTTAAGCCTTTGTGCCAAAAACAAAAACAAAACAAAAAAACACTTCCCCTTTACAGTCCCTCCAACACCATAATTGTCCCTTTAGATGTCTTGTGTCATTTATGTTTGCTTAACTTCATGCAAAATTTAGTGTTAATTCTTGGCTTTCTACAGCTGTCACCCCCCCATCCCCATTCAGTACAGCCTGTAATCCCAATAAAGAGTGAAAAAACAGTACTGCAAACAGAATCATTTTATAGCACATTCCTTCCATGCCCACTTGTTGGTTTATCAAACTATCTGAGAACATGAGCTTTGTCACTTCATAATTGTGGGAAGATTACTAAATACACTTATTTGTTTAGCTATAATGCTCTGTGTCACACCCATAGGATCTAAAAGAGATAACAGATCTAATTCAATAAGTAGGAATGGCCCTTTGGCAAATTAAAGAGCTGCTAAAGAAATGTAATATATCGTACAATTTGATTCTTTTGTTCTTTTCATGGTTTCTTTTCAATTCACAGTTCACCTATTGGGAGAGAGAGTCGATTTGGTGATTAGGGGATTGCAGTATCATTTTGGGTTTAAGCATATGATCTTTCAAAACTAATGATGTACTCTATGTTGGCTAACTGTACATAATTTAAAAAAAAAATGGAGGGGGTGGGAAGAGCATGATCTTTCATCATCAGACAGCCTTGGTTCAAATCCTCATCCTGTCAGTTTACCAGTAGTGAAAACTACTTGAGAAAGCTATTTAACTTCTAGAAGCCTTTGTTTCCTCATTAGTAAAATCAGATAATAATAATTCATAATAGTTAACCTCTAATACTGTTGTAAGGACTAAAGGAGGTAATACATGTAAGGTAAGTTTTATTAGCACATTGTTTAACACATTGTTCGGCACAGTGTTTCGATAGTAGCCATTATTTATTAAATACCAGTTACTGCACTCATCATTAAAGATGTTAAGTAGGCTATGCTACTTGCCTTCAAGGAGTTCCAAATCAAAGCATAATTCTGGGCTCCAACTGTCTCATCAGAAGGGAAAACTAAACCAGAAAAATAAGTCTACAGGCTATAATAGTTACATAATATATGCAAACAGTTTTTCACCCTTGGATACACCAATACCTGAATATTCTAATCAATGAAGAGATTGTTAAGTGGTCCTTATTAATTTTCTCATGTAGATTATGTATCCATGTTCTGGATCCCTCTAAGTTTTTCTGAATGTTAACAATTCTTTGCTTGTCTACATGATCACTTTCAATTAAACTGCTGGTCTTCCTTTTGTACACTGGCTCAAGCACTGACTGAAGACCCATAAGTATGATGCCAGTGAAGGTAACGAACAGGTTGAAATGTAAATCAACTTATTGTTTCATAGCCAGTCTAGTCAGTTTTAGTCAGCCTCCACTGTCAGCATTTCAGACTCTAAGAAGTCATTGTCTCCAACTATGCCTTAGCATGCTAGTAAGTTCATTCAGAGTATAGCCGCTCAAAATGTCACACAGTTATCATGGTGTTTCTCTCCTGCCAAACAAGAGAACATGAGATTCCACGGAGGTTGAAGAGAATCACACTAAGGGGAAAAACTTGACCATCCAGAACAGTCCTCAAAGTTGCAACACCTCCTTTCATTTAGATTTCTGAAAAGGGCATAGATGCAATAAAGAAATGCACATTAGTCCTTTATGAAGTTATCTTAGTTGTGTTTATATTATAGCCTTGCCATTGCTGCTTAATTGCGTTGAGTAGTGTTGGATTGATCATTATTTTCACATTGTGCTGAGATAGTCTGACTCTTCTTTTTTTTTTTTTTTTTTTGCATCTTTTCCTCCAATTTCTCATGACTGAAATATCTTTACTATTTCTGAATGTAAACATTGTACACGATAACAAGACAGCCAGTTGGGCATCTAAAATTATAATCAAATGGTTGTTTACTTTCCCTTATGTATTGCCAAATAATAATTTTAAATATTTTCTTCACTGAAATCACCTCTTGTTTGGAACCATTATGCCTCCCATCTTCTCCAAATGATTTTCCATGATCACTGTCATTTCCTTATTTCTCTTAATGTTGCTCTTTTTAAAGAGCTTTTAAAAATTCAAATGAATCTGTTCCTTGAATGCATGTTTAATAATTTTTCCTTTATTCCTCCAATCTGAATTTTTAATCAGAAATCTTGATTAGTCAGACTGTCCTAGCTAATGAATTACAAATTTGTTACAAACAGCAAAATACAGGCTTTCCTAGCGAATGAATTCAAAGGTGAAATTCAGTTTTGAATTCCAAATGATCTACCCTTAAAAGATCAACAAGAAAGAAAATGAATGCAGGAAGTAACCCCTCCGACACTTCTGTAGTAATAGGTAGAGGACCAGGCACAGAAGTGGAATATATGTTTAAATGTATTAATAAGCATTCACTTCCCATGTAAGACCTCCATGTTAAACCATCCATAATTATAAAAGGCATGTTGTGGGTTACCAGCCCACAAGCAGAACCACTTGCGTGGTGGAAAAGATATCAAGTAGAATGACTCAAAAAACCGATGATAAGACAAAGCTGAGAAAATCAGAGTGAGTAAGGAACAGTGGTGCGCACCATAGCATTTGAAGATGGAAGACATAGTGAGCCTGCCCTCTCCCTCTGACAGCCACCCTTAAGGACTGAGAAATAGTCATCATTGCTTTCAATGAGATACTCATGAATGTCTCTGAAAGCTCACGGTGGGATGATCTACATACAGAGCTCACTTGGAAGACCCTTCCACATCTGTGCCTCCATGAGCTACAGATTCTCACAGGAGTTTACCACATGGTTCATTTTCAATGTGACTTAAAGATTCCAAAAACCATACTCTTGATCTAATAATGCAGAACATGAATGAATATTGGTTAACCTCACCTGAACAACCTCACTATGCACTTTTGACATAAAGGAAAATACACACTTTGATTCTTTTGCTTCAGAATCAGGATCCAGCCTCTATCATTCTCCCTCTGATGTTTCCTATATTATATCTCTCTCCCTGCTGTTAGTCAAAATAAAACGCCAGGTAGAACTCCACTTTATTTTTAAGCTGTGACTTCTTTTTGTTCTTGAGATTTTTTGGAGAGATTTTTGCTCTCTTAAAATGGGGGATAAAATAATCTTTGGCAAGACACTAGATGACTACGAATGTATTTAATGCAACCTTGCTCCAGTATTAACATTTTCACAAACCACAGTAGGCAGACCCTTACTGTTTTTTCATTATCCTTTCCAGCAGTGGCTGAGAGCCCAAGTGATGCCACTTTACCAGATAGGTATTCTGTATGTGTGTTTGACTTTAATCACATCCTTTCAACACCACGAATCTTTGTCTGACAAATTATCTTCTCCACAGGCAGGCAGCCACATCCAGACTTTGATGGGGTCCCAAAGCCTTCAGCACCGTAGCCGGGAGCAGCAGCCATATGAGGGAAATATAAACAAAGTGACCATCCAGCAATTTCAGTCACCATTGCCTATTCAGATCCCCTCTTCACAGGCCACCCGGGGACCTCAGCCTGGACGGTGCTTAATTCAAACTAAAGGGCAAAGGAGTATGGATGGCTATCCAGAGCAGGTGAGAAGAGTTGTGATTGTTGATGAATTTTCAGGAAATGTTCAGGGAAATCCAGTGGATCCGTGGTTTACTTTCCCTCACTAATGCAGTCTGGGACAAATTAATGTTGCTACCATGTTGAATGGAGTGGAGCACTCTTTCTAGGGGTTTTACCATTATTTTCAGTGGTTAAACACTACAAGATATAAAAACTGATAGTTGGTAAAATGCCCACTTCACATAAGGAGAAACAGATGAATTGAAAGTTTTTTACTAGTATATCCTATCCCTTCTCCTATCGACTTTCAACTCTAATTTAGTGCTATAGCTTGGCTTTTGAATGATACAGAGCTTCAGTGGATTAGGCATGTTTACCAAGGCCTCTGGTGAAACTGACAGTGTAAAAAGTAAACTATTGGTGGGAACCTTTTCGAAAAATCCTATCTTCTGGTTATTGAATAGGACAAAGTTAAAGCTTTGCTTGAAGAAAATGATAAAGAACAGTTAAAAGGGAAACACTTCTGAAATGATCCAAAACCACTGATAAGTACCCTGTAACAACAACAACAACAACAACAAAAATGCTGCTCTCCCGACCTATCTAAAATTGGGATTTACTTTTCCATTATAGAATGTTTTCTTCCTTAGAACCAGAACACCGAATAGAGTCTTATCTATTGGTTTATATTATGCTTAGAAAATAAGGCATTAAGATCTTAATACTCCCATAAAATTAATTTCTCTTATTTCATTCTTCAGATAACTGGGTAAAGCTCCTACCAACTTCACTAACACCTTAATATGGTTAATAAAGATTTCACCTTAGTATTGCCTACTTCAGATATCACGCTGCCTTATTTTCTGAACATCTCAGACATTACCATTCTCCAGTTTTTTCTTTCACACTGTTAAGAGCCATTTATTATTTGGATCCCAGCTGCTCTAGACATTGCCTTTACTTCTTAATACCCTTCTTGAGGCTTAGATTAGGTATTAATCATTCTCAGACTCATAGGCTTGAAGACAACTTTTTTCCTGTCCTACCTTGATCTAGGTTGAGTATTGGATTTAAGATAAAGAAATCAGGTGCCTTTAATCAGGTAATGATATAAGGCTTTTAACTCTCCAAACAGTCTTTAAAGTTAGTAAAGTTTTAAATTATGTTTTACTACAGGCACCTAGAAGGTTAAAGATTGTTCATATTCCCTCCCCCCGCCCCAAAATATCACAACCTCAGTGAAGCTCTTGGATTTCATGATTCCTATTAGAAGCTACATTGAAAAATCAACTGAGATCAGTGCCCTATGTTTCACCTACTTTAAACAGTAGGTTTGAGCACTCTAAATTTAAGGGCCTTTTTTACATTATTTCTCAAAATACATCAATTGTATAGTTTGACTAATGAGAGGATTACTAAATTCTAAAGTTTACATACTTATTAAACTTAAAACATCATGATTCTTTCAGAGAAGGTATTTGTCATCGCTGACAGGTGTTTTGATCCACAGCTGCAACATCAGGTGCCTTTCAATCTGAGAGGTAAAAACTGAAACATGCAATGGCTGTGTTTAAGAAAGGGACTTAAGTAAATTCTTCTCGGCTTCCCAGTTTTTTTCCTGCCTTGGTTTCAGGCGGAAATGCTTTGGAATGCTGAGGTAAAAATTTACCAGGTGAATAAGAATATATTGTTATTATCACTAATTTGATTCATAACTTGTTCATAACTTGCTATTTTCAAAAATAACTGTCCTTAACTTGGTTTCTCTCTTTTGCCAATGTATAATCCATGACGAAGTATATTTATATTTGTGGAACAAACAGAAACCAAAGCAGAAAGCACTTTGGAAAGACCATGGGAAAGCCTAAGGAGCTTTTAAACAATGAGTACTAGTCTGCAAACTCTGCCGCCCATTCTCCAGAGTTACGAATCTGAAGACATATTCTCAAAATTTTTTCACAGTTCAGGGTAACATTTGTCCACCACTTGTGGCAAGCTAGATTCATATGGCCCATTACTGTGTGTCTTTCCTCCCAACTCCACCTTTAGTGACCTCACACAGTAGAATGACACTGTGGGCAAAGTTACATCAGGGAAATTGACAAACACCATAAACCAAGCTCTTCCCTACCCCCAGGCAGCTCCTAAATATCTCCCAGCACATCATCACCAACTTCTACTCTGTTTTCTTTCATCTCTCTTCCCCACTCCCCCATAACTTCCCCACTTTTCCATTTAGCTCTGTAGCATTCAAGAAAGAGAATACCTAGGGGGTGGGTCTCAGAATTTGGATTTTGACTCTCATGTTAAGTTGTGTGACCCTGGCCGAGTCTTTAACTCTTTCGGGGGTTCGGTTTTCCTCCTTATAAAATGAGAACATTACCACCCACAAACAAAATTCAGAAAGTTTTTTAAGAGTCAAATGATACAATTCTAAACACCACACACACACACACACACACACACACACACACACACAGTTAAGTCTGGCTCTGTGAGTATAGGCATAGGCAATAGAAGAAGTAGAAATACAACATTTTAAGAATTTAAATATCAGAGGAAACTTCACGGTTATCAGTCCCAACTTTCCTAATCTTCAAATAGAAAAGCAAGTAAAGCAAAGTAAAACAAAAGAGAGAGAAAGCCTGAAAAAGTTTATGAATATCACTCTCATAATGAAAATACTGCCTGTATTTTTTACTTTCCTAAGTTTTATTTCTTTTAAAAACAGACCTCTTGAATATGTATGTGCATGCACACATTAAAGACTTTTATCCCACATTTAACAAGGAAAAAATAGAGAAAAATATTTAAAATATTTTATCTTTTTATTTAATTTTATTTTTTCGGTGTTCCAAGATTCATTTTTTAGGCACCACACCCAGTGCTCCACGCAATACGGAGCACTAAAGAAATATTTTAAAGCTACACAGTTTCAAATGAAAATTATAGAGTAGTGACTGAAGTGCAAAGACCAAGGAAGTCACTGAAAATTTCTAATGTGGGCTTCAGTCATTTAAATCAAGACACTCTATTTTAATAAGGCATTTCTAGTGCTGCAACAAAAGAGCCATAAAGAGAAAAACAGAGTTTTCTTCAATGATCACAACAATGTTAATTTGGTCAAGTACATACATTTCCCAGCTTACAATGGTTTTACTAAGATTTTTAAACTTAACGATGGTGCAAAGGCAAGACACATTCAGTAAAAAACTGTACTTCAAATTTTGAATTTTGATTTGTTCCTGGGCTAGTGAAACACAGTTGAGTACTCTCTCCTGATGCTGGGCAGTGGCAGCGAGCTGCGGCTCCCAGTCAGCCCCAGGATCACGGAGGTAAACACCAATGCACTTATAACTGTCCTGTACCCTTGCCACCATTTCGTTTCTCACTTTTAGTACAGCATTCAATAAATTTCATGAGATATTCCACACTTTATTATAGAATGGGTTTTGCATTAGATGATTTGGCCCAACTGCAGGCTAATGTAAGTGTTCTGAGCACATATAAATTGGGCTAGGCTAAGCTATGGTGTTTAGTAGGTTAGGTATATTCAAAACATTTTTGACTTATAATATTTTCAAGATATGTTGGGTTTGTTGGCCTATAATCCCATTGTAAGTCAAGGAAGATCTGTACAATATGGAAAAAAACTAAATTGTTCACAATTTTTAAGTGCAAAGAGACATTATAAACATAGTACAGAGAGATTACACAGCATGATGAAGCACACTAATTTCTATTAAAGTTAGGAGATTTTACATTTAAAAAAAGTAATCACTTATTGCAATGCTATAGTTGAAAAAATATCCAATTACAAAGAATACACATTTTTTAATTTAAGGAAAAGAAGTCTGAATGAAAATAAGAAAAGAAAGGGCAGTTAGTGTCTGTTATACTATGTATAGGATACACAGTAGCCGTCCCCCACTGATTCACAGGGGATGTTGTTCCAATTCCCCCAGAGAATGCCTGAAAACCATGGATAATATGGAACTCTCTATATGCTATTTTTCCCATACATACAAACCTATGATAAAGTTTAATTTATAAATTAAGCATGGTAAGAGATTAACCACAATAACAAACAACAAAATAGAACATTTATAACAATACACTGTTATAAAAGTTATGTTAATAGAGTTTCTGTCTCTCAAAATATCTTATACTCACCCTTCCTGTGGTGATGTGAGGTGATGCATCTGAACTAAAGTTTGTTCCTGACAGAGAATTTATTAGATTTGAATTACATTAGAATTAGCCTCTGTGAGTTATACATAGTGACCTGCATCCAAAATATTCAAGGGAAAAAAACAAAACAAAACTCCAAAATCTTCCCACTCTTCCTTGGAAGAAATTATTTTCCTATTTAAGAATATGTAGAGTATATGAAAGAGCTGGCCAAGAGACAAGATTTCAGACATTTCTTTAGATTAGATGCTCTGGTCAGCTGCCTGAAGAGCTCACAGAGGTGAGGCTTTCATCTGTTGAGGCCAAATGAAGAAAACATTATTCTGAGTGTGTGATGATAAAAATGTGGAAAATTTTGTTTTATTTAAATTATGGATTTTTTAATTTAATAAGCAGTAATTTGATAAAGATGGTTAGAAAATAGTTATTAAAGTTTTAATATGTTATTTACTCAACTGATTTCAGGGACACTCCATACTTCATTCTACCCACTTAAAGTATTACTATTTATAAATATTTTCCCCTAAAATTTTACTCTTCAGTAACTAAAATAATATTGCAACTTTGAAGTTATAATTCACAGTTTAAAACAATAATGTGTAACTCAACACCACAAATTCTACAAATTGACTTTCTAAGTTCTGTACAGTCAAATAGTAGAATTCAGTAAGCACTGCAGTAGGAACAGAAGGACTCCCTCAGTACTCCAGTAAATCAACGTATCATCTTCTCGGTTTCCTTAAGCAGAAAATGAAGGAAGTTAAATTAATAACTTTTTAATTTATTTACAGACAAAAAGCATTTGAGTTTCTATTTCCTAGATACATACAGA